CATATATATATATATATATATATATATCTCTGTGTGCCGCTAGCCGCGACCTGTTGGTAGAGCAGCCTCTTTGAAGGTCGTAAGTCCCATCAGGTCACGAGTTTGAATCCTCCTCTGGCCAGTTTGCCAGTAATGAGGGTGGTCCTTGAATAGTTAGGCACATGAGGATGGTTGGGGGCTCGTATAATAGCCTCTGACCATTCTTGTTTAGTATATATATAAATATGCTTAAGTTTGAGGGGAGTATTAAAATAAGAAGTACTAAATTAGGAAAGTACTCTATGTACATGTTTATTTGTTTGTATCTTATAACAATGTTGTCATTCAACGAGACACAAGAAAGATCTTTATCCACTAACTGAACCAACTTCATCTGAAGACTACTATACTGAGGGTGTATTTGGCAGCATCTATTAATAGGATTTATCTTCTGTTTTACAAAACCCAGCCAAACACAAAAAAGCTCAAATTCCGTGGATTTATGAATTTTTGAATTTAAGTTGCTGAATTTTGCCTTCGATCCAACTTAATCCGGATTTGCTAAATCGAGAGAGAAGGTAGATTTAACGGATTTACGTTTTATGATTTACAGATTTACTAAATCTTACTAATGCTAAATCCTACTTGCAGCTAAACACTCCCTGAAGAGTTTTATAAAATATGACAATTATCAAAGGAAAATGTTTTCATAGTCGTTTATAAAACGAATGTAATTAATTTGATGCATATAGGACACATTAAAATCTTTAACCCCAAACATAAAATTTGTTTGCAATCAGGCTGCTCTTCTCAATTTGATGGATTTGATCTTCATCTTCTTCCTTTTATATCTTTTTGTCCATAATTTTTATTTGTTTACATTCATAACACTCAAATCCTTAACATCATGTAAAATATCTGTCTTTACTGTTTTTATAAAAGTAAAATACACCTTTACTTGTATAGTTTCATATTATCAGTGTTATAAACATAAATATCAAACATTAAATGTTAGATATGTAAATATATAAGAATTGTGGTATGTTTGTATGTAAATTTCCCCATCTTTTTTCTTGTTAAAACTCCTGCGACTTGCTAAAAGGTTGGAAGTTTAATGATTGAAGGTACCTCTATGTTTGTGCTGGAACAGCGAGCGTCTACATTGGGGTGTTTGTGGTTGCAGCCACGGTGTTCTATACCTGCACCGTGTTCTTTTTCAGGGCAAAGTTGCTTAAATCTGGAGGTTCTTAACATGCAACCAGCTGGGGGCATTACTGCAATTTTGAATACTCTAATTTTTTTCATTTATTATATCATACAAACAGCTATTTTATAATAGTCCATGCAAAATCTTATATTTTCACTCATTTAAATTGCAATTTCGGATTTCACATGAGGATCCATACTTATGAGATGTATCTCATAAATAAATCATTTTTTTTTTGTAAATTAGGACTTGTATTTTATTACATTGTAATGTATCTTGGAAAAGTACTTTATGAGATCAATAGTGAATGGTAATAATTTTTCTTTTCAAGTTTTTTTTTTTTCATGTTGGTCTACACGCAAGCACACGCGCACACGCGCACACACGCACACGCACACACGCGCACGCACGCACACACCACTTTATTTAAGAATAAAAATGTTTATTTCATTCTGTTTAAGTTTAGAGATTTGCATGGTATAAATATAAGAAGTAAAATTTAGATGTTGGATATGTAAATGCATAGGAATAGGGTAGCATTTATGTAAATGCACGTTTTTTTTATAACTTATAGACAACTTTGAAAGGCCAAAGTATCATTTTTGGTAATAAGTTTATTTTAGTAGGCTCTGTCCGGATGAGAGTTATATGCTTTGATGATATCATATGATTTCATACTGGGTTTCTTTTAGGAATAAATGCATGGACAGGTTTTTTCAATACTTAGAATTGAAAAGATTTATGTTGTTGAGGGTATAGTTTTTTACCGTGAGTTTATGGGTTTTAATCATACATTTTTTTGTTTATGTTCATTATAAGATGAGTAACTAATCATTGGAAAATATATGGTTTCTCTGGATGACTCAAAATTGTTAATTTATAAAGATAAATGTATCATATTTATTTCAATTCATAATTGATACAAATTAAGAAGCAAAGACGAAAGTTAATGTGTCAATTGGGAGAAATATTTGCATACGTTAGGTAGGTTACAGAGAGAGTATTGAGGGTTATATCCGCGTTATATCTTATGTAAACTCATTGTAATTTACTTTTAATCTACCTGTAACTTACGAAATATATGAAAATAGATGCGTGAAAATTACTAGTTACAAATATGTTACAGTGATGTTATAGAGGGGTAAAACACGGATATAACTCTCAACACCCTTTCTGTAACCTATCAGACGTGCGTAGCTCTAAGCACGTCTTACGTATGTAAATATTTCTTGTCAATTTGTCCCTTTGAAATTTGTAATTTTTCTATATAAATATTAAATTTAATTTATTTTCCTATTAGCATGGTCAATTTACCAATTTTGCCCCCATTTAATGTTTTTTTTTTTTGGTACAACACTTAAAAAATTAGATATTTAATAATTTTACGTATGCTAAAAATTAACTTTGGTTTGGCCTCTTCAAATGACTCGGAATTAAAAATCATATAGGGTTATTATCGTACCTACGGCCACAAGCACAGATGTATCAATAATTTATTATAATATATGTTTTCCTAAGTAAATGTAATTTTTGAAGAATTAAAAAAAATTCCAATAATTTTCCATTGGGTCATTTACATAGCTATCAGCCAATATTTATAACATTCTAATTTTATTTTTTTCATTCGTATCATGCAAAATTTTCTTTTCTCATAAAAATTATCCCTATTTTAATTTCAAAAAATAAAATATAACTTCTTATACCTAAATAATATATATATAAAAATCGGACTGAATATTGTATTGGAAGAATGAGTAAATAATAATAATAGTAATTTATCGATTTAGTAAATAATATTTTAATTTAAGATGATATTTTTAAATATTTTGTAAAATATTTTGAATAAAGATTTTCAATTTAATTTTAAAAATCAAGCAAATATTTAACTAAGCATTTTTTTTGATATTTATATAACTTAAATATTCCTTATCACTATTAATATTTCATTTACAACCCCAAGGCTGCTCGGGCACTGTACTGGATGGATTCATCGAGGCCGATGGAGCAACACTGATGCTCTGTCGAGCCTCTTATACGGGTTCTGAGATGAGAATGCCGCCTTGATTTTCGTTCTTGTAGGTAATGAGATGATCTTTCTTTTTTCCTTTTCTTGCTCCATTTATTGTTATCCCTTTATCCGATTTTATATTTATTTTTTTGATAATTTTTACTCTTGATTTGTATTTTCTGTTGTTCTTCTACACTTCGGCTCGCATTTTTCTGGATTTTTTGTGGTTTTTGATTCTATGATTGTTATGTTTGAGTTCGTAGATGATATGTATTATGTTTTATTGGATTTGATTTGGTTAATGCTTATATTTGTTCTTCTTCTTCTTCTTCGAAGTGGGTCTTGGCTTGTTATGTAGGCTGCAGAAGAGAGGAAGTACGAGCTGTGGGCTTACAGTTTAAGTTATCATTGGCTTCAGTTTATTGTTGCTTTGTTTGGGCCTATGGCGTTCTTGCCTTAATTAGATGAAAAAAATATTTAGGTTTGGTCCCCTGTTGAAACATTTAAGTTATGTTTGGTGAGAAATTTACTTAGGGTTTTTGAAAATCAAGGTTATAAGATTTTCTAAATCGGTAGATTAAGTAACAAATAAGTAAATCAAAAGGTGATTGAGAAAGAGAGAGATAAGTTTTGTGTTTAGTTGGCCATTTTGCAGTTGGATTTTCCTTTTCAATTGCTACATGTAATTTAATTCTTGTCTACATTATCATGGTGTTTTCTCTAATGCTTCAGAATGTCATTATAATTAATTATTTATGGAAATCTGGACATTTCTTATTCTGAGACATTGATTGTGATGGTCATAGGAAATTCATAAACTGTTTTTTATGGATTAATTAACTTTCTGAATTTTATATAATTGGTCTGCTCGCATTGAATAATTATCTAATTTAACAGCTTCGCAGGTTCTGACAGCGATAAACTTTTTACATTATATCTAGTTTTACTGTTTTTAGTTCTTTGATAACTACGCATGATTGACTCCACCCTAACTGATGTCTTTTCTTCTGAAATCTGCACCAGAAGCGTTGTTTCTGATAGCTCGCACATTTTTTTTTTCTTTTGCTGATTGCTTAATTTTAAGCGAAATTACATACTAGCACGCAATTCTTATGTATTCACATATGCACATCTAAACTCTTATGTTTCCATACACTTTGGTGTATTTCACTTTTAAAAAATGGTAATAGTGCTATTTTTATGTGATATTAAAGATTTAACCACTATGTGAATAATTTTGAAATGTTAGGTGCGAGGTATGTAAATACTTAAAGAATTGTGTGCTATTTTCTATCGTTAAACTTGTAGTGAAAGAAATCCTATTTCTTCATCCTGCGCATTTGGTAGATTTGTTTAGAATATATCAGCATCATAAGTCATTTACATTTTTCCAGCTATTTGGGGTTGGTTTTATAAATTTGTTTAAATATTCAGTTGTGCTGTGTGTTGCATGTAGTTTTAGTGTTAGTTTATGCAATTTTTTTTTTTTTAACAATCTAGAGCCAAATTATCTGCGGTGCCCTTCTTCTCTTCTTGTGCCACTTACTTTAATGCTATATATTTCCCTTATTGGTATATATATATATATATATATCTGGGAATCTGGGAAATTTTGCATTTGCATACATACCACGCACTGCTTAGGTCTTAGATATGTACATAAATAAGAATTGTATATGGAAATGCCCTTTTTTTTGGACCTGAAGGCAAATGATAAATGCTTAATGAACCATTATTTTTTGTCACATTTTTTCAAATTTGTAATATTTTAAATGATATGACTGCTTGAAAAATAGATATTATGAGTGAGAGACGCTTACGAAGTGGTAGACCTTCTAGCAATGGTGAAGAACCTTCTGAATTTATGGTTAATCTGTCGGTCGAACAGTTCAAGTATGGGGATGTTGTGTGGAGTAGGATCAGTGGCGAGTCATGGTGGCCTGTTCAGGTATTTTTTGGTCAATGATTTTTGCAGCCATCTTTTCTTTTTTTTAAAAGATTTACATATACGCCACTCAATTCCTATGTATTCTTATATCTGACACATAAACTTCAATTCTTACATACATATCACCTTGCATATGCATGAAAAGGTGCATTTACCTTTTTAAAGTTAAAATTGTGGTATTTTTGATGTGATATGAAAGATTTGGTTGATTTAAATGTAAAAAAAATAAAATTTCGGTGATGGATATGCAAATACATCAAAATTGGGTTGTATGTATGTAAATGCTCCCCCCCCCCCCCCCCCCCTCCTCGCACTCCCTGAGGGCTGGTTGTAAGCAAATCAATATGCTGGACAAAACGTCGATGTCTTCTGAGAAAGGACCTCAAATTTTGTACATTCATTCACTTGCCTAATTGAACCAGCTTGAACATATGATAAAGAAGCCTAGCAACCTAATCCACTAACTGTTAGCAAATTACTTTGCCTTATTTATTTATTCAGGTTGTTGATGAGAAATGCGTGGCTTTTAAGCCAAAAAAGATAAAGAATGATTTAATTCTGGTTCGGCTATATGGAACTTTCGAGCAGTAAGTTACATTAGCTTTAGTTACTGCTCCGTTATTGATGAGATTTTGTAAAACTAAATCATAATAATCATGTGTTGCTCACAGCATGTACGTCGAACCTGTAAACTGTGTCTTGAAGATTGAGAAGGTGAGTTGAATAGTTGAATGGATGCTGTTCGTCTCTCCACAAATTGATTTTTGCTTTGTAGCTTTCTTATTTAAGATGGTGCCATGCAGATTTTTGGGCAAGAGAACGGAAGCAACAGAGAAATATTTCAGAAATTTCTGGAGGAGGTGCTGTTTTTTCCCCTTCATAGTTTGGAGAAAATATTTTGTCCGGATGACGGACGTGCGGACGACTGTGCGGACGACCGTGCGGATCCCAACATGCTGTGAACGCACAGCATGGTGTGATCCACATCATAAACCGGACGTAATGTTTTGTCCATTATTTGAGGTGTCCATTCTTCTTTCAGTTTGGATCATCTTGATGCAATTCTGATTATTTTAAATTGTTTTACTTCTTGCACATAGGATATAACCTACATGAAATCTGGTGGCCAATCTGCAGCTACAGTTTCTGAATTAAAAGGTCAGTCTTCTTGTTGTGTTTAGGAACATTTAATTATTTGCACATATAGATTTTGATAGATTCTGTTTTTCTATTGCTCCATTTCGAAGGGGGAAAAGGCTTTGATTGCTGTTTCTTCGCTGGAAAGTTCCACATGTTATTGATAATATTTTTTTGGGAAATTTACATACATAAGACCCAATTCTTATGTATTTACACATCTAACACCTAAGCTTTGATTTGTGCATTTATACCACCCAAAGCTTTGATCTTAAAACCAAGGAGAGGCAGGGAAACGGAATGAAAATATTTTGGCATTAGCACATTACCACAGGTACAGAAAACATATGTATAGGCATAGTAGAATACTCTACTCTAGTAGCTAGGTAACTAATTACACCAGTGCCCTCAGGTAGTTATGAGTAATGCGTCCACCTTCTTGCTGCTGTCAGATACTTTTGATGCATTAGATTGGTTTTGGCTTTGAGTAATGCGTCCAACTCCTAATGCACCCCCCCCCCCCCCCCCCCCCCCTCCTACAAATCAAAAATA